TAGTAATTCATTTAGCTGGCGACGCAAACAAGTCTCGATATACGAGTCGGGCAGTTTTGTGGACGGTGATCTAGGTGATAGATTAGCTTGCTCATTAAACGACATTGACGATGTGCGTGATCTTCCAGCATGACTCCTCAGGATCGTGGTGTAGTCATGCACGAAATCCGCGTACCCCGCCTAGACGACAGGCGGTGTCCAGCTGAGAGTCATCGGCGTCGGGTCGGTAGCCGTGTTTTTCATCGTCGTGTCGGAGCCTATTCAAGTGTTGGCAGTTTTTCACGCGGCAGGCGACAAATATCCCCACCAAAATCCCCTTTAGATGAGTCCCCACGTGGTCCGGGATGTCGCATCCTCGCCGGCATTCACCGTGCTGATCCCGTCTAAGTCGCGCGTATTCGCGGAGTGATTTTTCGGATCTACTATCGCGAGCGATCGGGTCGTCGTTCCAAGTCAATTATTCCCAACGAGAGAAGTGATTTCGCGCGCCAACGAATCCACCGCAGGGTAATTTAATTTTCCATTCGCGGTTCATAGACAATATCTCGTCAATAGTAGATCGATTGTGATATCCCAAATTAAAATTCGATGCTCTTGTCGGCAATTAATGATGACGCAAAGAGCGAATCGTCGCTTTTATAACGCCTGGGAAATCCCGTTCTCGTAACTGTAGGGATTCGCGTATTACGTCAGCGTTACGATTCACGTTGATATCTACTTAAATCCAGGTTAAACCTCGATTCGAAAGCTCAGACTAGGCTTTGATAGGCTTGTGTGTGACGCGAATTCACTGCTTATAACGTATATAAGCTTGGCTCGAGGATTTTTCGCAAAGTCGATCTTGCTGGGGTACAAGTGTCTTGTGCCATCACGTTAATCGGCACGAAAATCGGCACGATTTTTTTGTTGAATTTCGATGATGATGATGATGTAACGCTGCTTTCGAAATTGGACTTGTTCGCGTCTATCGAGACAAAAGTGCAGTCGAACCGAGTGAAAGTGTCATCGATCTGTCTGAATGTATTCTTCGCGTAACGTATGTATTCGTCGTAGATCGTATATTATCACCGCAACTACAACCGCGAGAATCTGTGACGATGTGTTTAAATCGCTATTGCGGCTAGCTGGTCGTAATTCGTACGGTTTACAATGTATGGATTGAGATGACACGCCGCGAAGCGAAGATTCGCAGCTATGTCTACGATTATCATTAGGTGAGTTATGACGACATATATTTAGGATAGGTAAGAATATCCTAGGATATTCTTTGGATGTTTCGATTTATATTCGGGAATTTCGTTATTTTTATCCTATTACGTATCATGGGATCACCGAAAAAATTGTATTCTTAACTTAAGAATATGCCACTTATCTTTAGAATATATACCACTAAAATAGACGCCAAGAGGATCCTTAAGTTAAGAGGAAAATCTTCTAAAGAGAATCTTCTAAAGAGATTCTTAATACACAAAGAAAAATAGTTTTTTTTATTTAATACATTTTGTTGAAGTCAAATAAGTTTAATTATTGGAAAGTTTTTTCCGCCTAATTTCAAATAATCTTTTAATATTCTGAATCCCAAGGAATCCAGATTAAATAAATTATTTTAAATTCAGCTTGAAATTAAACTGATAAACAGTGATGTCAAAGAGGATACGGCTCACATGCACACAGAGAACCTATGTGTGAGAGCAGCGTCCTCTCTTTCGCACCACTGCTAAAGGAAAAAAATATACTTTAGATCTTACATTAATACAAGTTCTTTATATACATTTCATAATAAATATTGAATACGAGAAAAATTAAGAGTGGTGTCGCCGTAGCAAATGAAGAAACATGTCGCGTACACGAAAATCGAGTTGTGATGTAGAAGTCGCAAATTCTTAATGAATAAGAATATATTCTTATTTATTAAGAACATTTATTAAGAGGACTTATAAAGTATACATTTTAAGAATACAATTTTTTCGGTGATCCGTAGTGAAAAAACTTCAAGAAATTATAGAATTCTATTTTTAAAAATTCTATGTCTCGCGAATATCGTTTATTTTTTTTTGAAGAAAAAAAAATCAGATTTTTTCTTTGTATAATGATATTTTTTTTCACAATCAGCTATTTATAGATATCGGTACAAGACGCAAGTAACGAACATTGACTGGGATGCTGCGTCACGCACCGTGTGACGTGCGCAGACCGTTCTTGCGTGTTGGAATTTTGTCACGGATGGATTTCACGACGTCCCGGAATTTCGCGAATCTCCGGAATTTCATGACGAGACGCGGTCATGTGTGTACCGCCAATCACGCAGGCACGTGAACGCGTGTGTTCACGCGATAGTACGCAGCATCCCGCCTCGTGTACTGATTACGTACACCGATATCGAAACGCGATAATAACTTTTATTAATCAAATGATCGAAATTAACTCCAGCTTTTATTTTATTCGAATCTCTTTAAATTCTAGAGAGATTTATAAATTCGATAATTTTATATAATAATTAAAAGTGGCGATGTAAAAAATTATAAAAATAATTGGAGCAACGAAGAAAAATACTCGATGATCGCGACTAATAGTTTAACGCTATGGAGAATTCTTGGTCTCTTGGGCACTCTTTCCATTTCGATGACACTTATCGTGAAACATTCACGGACATCTCGCTCTCGGACGTTTTCCTTCTTACGTCAGACGTCTCGGGAGATCCGAATGTTTAATGTATCCCCGCGCCTTTCGACGCCGTAGTTACCTTCGTCGCGATACCGCGTGTATTATCGCGTCCGAGGTGATCCACGGCCGTTAATGAAACGACTAGCGAGTAGCTGTCAGCGGGACGTCGATGTGACTAAGTTTGCAATTATGTAAACCGGCATCCCAGCGAGTGGGATACTCGTATATCTCGGTTTAGAGACGGCGATCTTCGTTCGATGTGAAAATTGAAAAATCGATATTGACGCTGCTGACGTAAATTAGATACTTTGGAATGTGGCACATTCTATAAGTGATTCTCGGTATACGAGCGACAAGAATGTCACATCGAACGGCAATAAAATGCGTAAATATGGTTTACTTATCCAAACTTTCTTCGCATATAAATATCATTTATTATTATTGTTATTATTATTATTATTATTTAATTATTATTATTTAATTATTATTTAATTATTATTTTATTATTATTATAATTATTATTTTATTATTATTATTATTATTATATATTTTTCAAAAGTAACAAGAATTTTTAAAAAATTGTAGATATATTTGTTTATCACTATATCGAGAATGGATGATAATTCGGAATGATGATCAATCAAGATACGTGATTAAATTAATTTTCAATTTCCGCTGTGTGGCCCTTATCTTTCGAAGTTCTTTTAAAGAATACTTTACGCGCGCGTAGAGAGGCCCCTTTTGATTTAATAAAGCATAAATCGTTTCTTCACACATCCGGCAGCAAAAATGTCGAATACAGTTGTGTATTTGCAATCGAGTCGCCACACCGCTGCTGCAGTCGCGCCGATGCAATTATACCTCGAAACCTGAGTCGACTGCGTACGTCATATTGTGCTCCACGTTACGACTCGATGTATATAACGCGGGGAGTGCGATGATGAATGCATGGCAAAGACCTAACCCGCGGCAAAATTCTGTATCATGCGTGCTTACCGTGTCTTCCTCCTGACATAGATCTTGCGCAAAATGGAGTAATTATTGCAAAGATCGCACCGATATCCCGTATCCCACAAAGATAATGAATTTAATTTACATCGGCGTTTAATCGTGCATAATCGAAATCTCGTATCGCGATTGGGAGAAAAAAAGGGGAAAATGATGGAAGAGCGATAAAATCCGATAGCTCCGAAATAAACGCGGCGAGAAGATTCCGTCGAACAGAAACGAAATGAAGCGAATATTTTAAGAGGATCGGGGACGCCGAGAGAGAAAGAAAGAGAAAAGGAGAGAATGGCATTCCGCGCAGTGCAACGGGAGTGCATTGAGATGGGTGGGAGTAGGCGGGATGAGGCGAAAGAAAGGTGCATTTCGTCCAGCCCGGCGATACCACGAGTATCGGGGGAGCCAATAATCCAGCCGAATTAAAGCGGACGGATAACGAGAGAGCTCCCATACCGGTGTACGGCCGCGATCGTTGCTCACCTGCGTTCTATAACACGAGATGCATTCGCATTACGTAATCGCTCTTGCGGCGCGGCGGCTTGCCGCACGTAGCTCGCGTGTCTAACTGGGTTATTTACAATCGCTATATTCTTGATTTCTACAATCCTCTCCGATATCTCCTCGCCACACACGTTGATCTTACGTGAGACAATGCGCGTTCTATTACAGCTGAAATCTGTAAAATGTAATAATATATATGTACATAATTATATAAGAAATTAATATATTTACACATTTTCTAAATTTTTTAAATCCTAAATCTAAAGTTATTAATTATATAATTTGCGATAAGTGCAATTAATCTCGTTTATAAAAAGATACTGTTTGAAAATGTTAATTATTTGCTTTATGGATTGTTTACATTAATATCTGTCTGTGTAATTTTAAAGAAATCAAAATATATATTAATATGACTAGTGTAAAAAATGTGTAAATAATTAAATAATAACTAGCTAATTTATAAAAACGCAGGAATTAATTAAAAGGATAATCTGAGGAGAATTTAATATGCGCATAAATTAGAATGAAATTTAAATATGCGGCATAATCTATTGGCAGTAATGTGTTCTTTTCTAACACTGATTATCTCGAGCATTTTCTCTTATCAATCAAATGCATCCTACCTATACTTTCGATATATGCAGTTGGCAATAGTAATGACCGTCCTGCGCGAGTTTACTATATAATCAAGTGAAATTTATTTGCATACGAAATCACTTAGAATCGCTGCAAATTGGAATGTATTCGCGATAAAACAGTCTTATCGCGTATTCCAGTTCATATTCCCGGTCGACATTTTTAACTAATGGATGTATTTTTGTTGTTTCTAGGTTACCACAGCTTGCCGTTTTAGCGAAGATTTTGTGCCTCCTGATGGTGAGTAGCAATTGTATTAATTATTTATAACACCAACAGAAATTGTAGTTTTCTGCGATATATGCATGAATATACAATTTTTTATATTATCTTTATATTAAACTATTAAAAAAAACGTGTAGACGATTATAATATAGACTAGTGGGAGATCTCGAAAAATTTATATCGATTTATAAAAATCGAGAAGAGAAACATATAGTATAGTAGACAAGTACAGAGAGCCCAGAGACTGACGCATTCATCGCGCTATAATTGGTTTGTAATCTTATCTCTGAATGTGTCGGACATTTGTAGCACGAACCAATTACATAAAGGTAATCTGATGATCGGTCGGCCTAGTTTTCGCGAACAGTAACGAGCGGTATGAGGTTCGTATCCGAGAATTCCAGCCGCAATTCCGCCGAAGCCGCAAAATCACCTACTTTGTAGCTCGCGAATATATGCAAAGATATAGTGGGGCAGGCAGTGCAATCTCGCGCGAGGGTGACTAGGTCAGATCTGAGATATCTCGCGCACGCGAAGAAGAGGTCGGGACCTGAGAGGATCGCGTGCTGAAACTCGTGCCAAGTTGACTCGAGTAAATCGGCGATTACGTCGGCCCGCGCCTTACCTGTCATAGATTAATGATCGGGGCGCTTCCACTCCTACGCGTTTACAACACTGACAATTTATATGGCCGAGGCGGCGCTCGCTGCCGGCTTTGAACTCGTCTTAACTCATTGCGGCGTACGTTTAATTCCCCGCTGTGGGCGCCGCGAAGCGCTATAAGTTTTGACGTTGAATTTTTAAGTACTCGCCGTTCATTGCGGTACCGCTAGCTTGCCGTCGCACTTTGATTAACTGCGTACACGATATATCAAGAATTGTTGTTTTTTCTTGAGGATCTCTGTCGTTTCCAATTCTATTTTTCTATTTTTCTAACTTGTAATTTGTTGCATCATGTTTAAATGTATTTTGATCTTTTAAATTTTTAACAATTGAAATGATTTGTCAATTTTGATTAATGCATTTAGAAATGGCTTTGAATGGGAAAACATAAAGCAAGTATTAATTTACAATTTTGTTCGACATAATTTTTGTTATTAATCAAATAATCTCTCAGGCTTGAAGATGGTACTATATAAATTGTTCAGATTTGACTTGTATGGCATTTGTTATTTATTATGTTTTTGAAATTAATGGAGATCTATGTTCGACTTCTCAATACGATAAGAACAATCTACGCGACAGTGCCATCGAGCGCGGAGGCTCGAATCGTATTTAAATAAGATTTATATATCTCTTGGATACCGGTCCCGAGCGGTGCAATAAATGGTTCGCCGATCCAATAAATAATTAAATGGATGGTTGAATCGCGAGCGATAAATTTAGATGTCGCCGGTAACTGTCTGGTAAATAGCGCGACGAGCATATTCGAAAGTATCGCCTTGACGATACGTTCGCTACGTGAGAATTTAATGAATGGCCGATACATAAAATTGCAAAGCTATTCACTGACGATTGTCATTATCCTTCTCGCTTCTCTTTACGATCCGAAAGTCCTGTCGATTAAATGATAATGCGAATATCGCGGTGATGACGCGGAATCAATTAGCGTGTCGAGTTTTTATCGCGATGCACGTAAGGACAAACATGATTACGATGCGCACAGTATTGCGATGCACTTGAATGCATTGAATGCAGAATTTGTGGCATGTGACGCTCGTCACGTCGTAAAAAGTTTCGGCGAATATATATGTATAATCGTTATTTAATTTTGTATATTAAACGATAGACAGAAGAGGCGTGTTATATACAAGCTCTACTTGTCGCTTGAGTTATATACGTGTGTCCGATTGACCATGTCAAAGATATAAAAGGTGGATGTTACAAAATTATGAAACTGCAATAAAATTCCGCGATGTGAATTTAATTGCTCTCTGTAACCGATAAGCGCAACTCGATCATTCGCATGTATGTTTGTTCATTATTGAGCGCTTATTACACGATAGTATTATATGATATTATTACTTAACGGTATTTGCTTGTGATAAATCTTGAAGTGAACAATAACGCTAATTTGAATTTTTAATAATAATCAATTTTTAAAATATTTTATTATTGTTTGATTATAAGGATGTTTACAATTTTACTGTATCATAATTCAAATTATACATATTAACGAGTTTTACAAATGATCCATATAAATGAAAGGACGGACACGCGTCATATAATGTCTTTCTAATGATTGTTCGATAAGTTATTTGTTTTGACGTTTCTTTGACGTTTCTATAACGTATCGCATCGATCATATGCATTGTCGGCGCCACTTTCGATATAAACAAGACGCCGGTCTCGATGACTATTAATGTTTTGCGCGTGTCCGCTCGTTAATTCTCGAGATTTTCATGCATGCTATTTCCGAACACGATGACTTTTCGTCTTCCTCCGACACGGCGCACTTTTATCGCACGTTATTCGCCGAGCGAATCAACGAATGACTCGATGTCATGATATGTGAATCGATCGTAAAAGCGTTCTTCTTAGGCGGCCGTGAAAGAATTTCGGCGTCCTTAACGATTCTCAGGTCGGTCGTTGTTCTGAAAACACGGCACGCGAATTCTTATCTCTCTCCAGCTCGAGATCCTTCTATTTAATCGAGAGAAATCGGTATAACACGCGAAAAATATAAAACGCGATTCTCTAATTTTGATCCGAATTGCTTTCCCTCGCTGTTTCACGATTTCTTGATGATTAACTGCCTTTTATATTTATTTTTTTCCTTTAATATACGATCGTGCTTGCGTATGAATTTTTTCCCGCAGTATTTGAATAATTCATTAAATATCGGAAATAAAAGTACGTTAAAGTAGTATCGTCATAAAACGAGCATGAACGCGAAGATTAATTCTTTTACAAATCGTAAAGTACATTAGATTTGATATTAAAAGTGCTGCGATTCAAAGTACTCGCAATTATGTAATTCATTTTCGCGGAACTCCGTTTGTGATTCATCGAATGATTCGTCGACTTTTTTATGCATTTCATTAAACGGCTTTTCGCGGAACAGAGTATCGGTAAAACAATTTCACGAATGACGTGGCTAAGGAATTTTGAATACACGAGTGGACTCTTGTAATTGCAGGTGGTGATGTGCGGGGCGGTGCCGGCGATGGTGCGCTCCGTGAGTCTCTACTCGACTTGCAGCAGCGGCAATGTTACCGTAATAGGCCGCTCGATCAAAGCCATGAGCCGCAACGATCACAATGATGCACCCTACCGTAAGTAAGACCGCAGTAATTCGCTATGTCTCTTATTGCTAATATCGCATTTAAGCGCGATGAATAAAACATTTTTTTAATCAAGAAAATTATTTTACACATATACGCGTATGTACAATAAACTTTGTTATTCTTATCATAATGTTTTAAATTTGGCGAAAAATCTTTTTGTCTCGAAATCTATTACGTCTTTATAATTTCTGTAACAAGAAGAGATAATTTTATAATAATCCAATTAAGATAAACTTCTTTTTTTCGTGAAGAGATTTTTTCTTTTAATGAGTCTCCGGACTTTAATATTATTAATTAATATTATTTAATATTAATTGATAGTTTTTCTCTTATTTGGAATATAATCTTCCAATTATCTTGAAAGTGAAGGAAATCTTGTTATAAGCGCGTAGTAACGTAATCATCTAGGATGAGTTAATCAAATCCGTTAATTAAATCGATTCCAGTCACCATCTCAGCGTCTCGTTATCGCTCCGATCGATAGTTTCGTGTATAAAAGGAAGATTTTGCGTCTGTAATATCCAGAGACGATGCAACTAAAGAACTTAATTTACTGCGATTCTTATCAATCGACCTCCGTCGAAGACCTTATCTCTCTCTCGTTTTCACTAGCAAATGCCTCCACGGCGGAGAGCTTTTCCGGATGAATCTTTATTTTTGCGAACTAATAACTGCAGTTCTATTTGCGCGAATGGAGCATTGAGTGCACAATCGAGAGAGACGCGAAGAGGGTAAAAGAGGACGGCTCGAGGAGCCTCGATGAATTATGACGTAATTTTGCTTCGTCTCGATTGTTTTCGGCTAGACATTGTTTATCTCTCGCCGTTTGCTCTATCGTGCATCGAACTCTCGCCTTTTCTCCTTTATTTATTGGATCCTTGTCGCAAGCAGACTACAAGGAATTTAGCTTTATTTTTTTTAACGCTAGGAGAGGAGATATTCTCGACAGAACATTTATATATGTGCTTGCTTGTTTTCCACCTGTATTTTATCGCCTTGACATACATTCACCATGATCGCGGCAACGCTTGTTTATGTGTCAAGATGATACATTTACCAGACATTTGTCAGACATTTCGCATATCTTTGGCTGATTCACTTAAATCGAGTGGATCGTTAGCACGGGATTATGATGAATGACGCTTCTCACGTTCGCTTTATATAACTCTCTTGTTTATGATAATCTTGCCGTGACCTTAATGATGATCTCAAATTTAATCTTATCCAATATAGACATAAATATCGATATATTTTGGAGCTCTAAGTTAATAATTTCTAAAGAAAGTGAAAAAGTTTATGCCCTGTAATAGTATATACAGGTATCATGATCATTTTTCGCGTATAACTTTGCATTAAAACAAATTTATTTAAAATTATTAAAATATGAATTATTCATTCATCTTACGGAGCAGGATAATTTTATTTTCAAATTTTATTAATATACGACGCTATTAATATATTAGAAAATTCTATCGTAGCTTAAACTTTTGATCAGCTCCCACATGAGTTCTTTGTGAAAACCGCTCTTCCTACGGTGATTTTTTTTCGGACCCTCGCGAATTTTTTCGCGGGAATTTACGCGCGATATCCCAGATGAGACGAGCGAACCGGGCTGTCCGCCCTACGTGCGGGAGCGAGTACGAGGCGGTTCCTCTCGAGACGATCGCCGTCGAGGTAGGGGACGAAAGGAAGGTTCGAAAGGAGGGAAGAAGGCTCGCTTGTGCAAACAGAGGAGCCAGTTTTCGCGCCGCATGCTGCGCGCCGCGTCTGCACCTCCCCAAGATCCATCACCTTCGCGTATCTCCTTCTCCTCCTTCATCTCCTGCCCCTTTTTACCTCCTCCTGCCTTCTTGCGCGTTTCCCTCTACCTTTTCCCTCCGTGTTACTCTGCTCTCTCACCTCTCACGGCACTCAACTGCCGACAAGTCTCTCCTGACCGGCGATTACTCAAGTCCCTCTCGCGAAGCAGAACGACGTATGTTTTGCTGCACGAGGGATTGAGACACTGTAAGAGCGTCCTTGGTCGTATATCAGGTTTTGACGAAGAATGCGACACGACGAATCTTCGGGAATTTCAAGTCTCCCGAAGTTTCGTTGCCGTGCTAGTTAAATGACAGCTGATATATGACTTTCGATGTTTTCTGTCAAATGGCATAAATCGCCACACTATCTCTATAATTTACTAAATGAGTTATGTAATGGACATATCGTCATGGATGAAAATAATGCAATAATTATCATTTTAATATGTTGATAAACATAAAAAGATTGTGTAAATGTATTGTTTTTTTCTATAAATTACTTTCATTAGATGTAATACCGAGCTGTGATTTAATTGCAATTCATATTATTAGATATATACAAGAAAATATAGAAGCTTTGAATGCGAGAGAAAAAGAGAAACGCAGGAATGATAAGTCATAATTCGAGTGCGTCAGAAATAACACGATAATCACTATCATTTACAATCAAGGTAAATAATAATTATCGACTTTTCGTTACCCCTGCACGTCGAATAAACACAGATACGATCGACGTGACACGCTTATAATTACCATGACGCAATGTACTTACTACAGATTTAACGATCTCCCAAGCGTCCCGTTTGACGTTTAATGCCCGAAAATCGGGCATCCCTCGCGATTGATACCCGCGCGAATTTCGACACGAAAGAGGCAAAGAGGGAAAACGATGGGGATCTGTGTACAAAAGGGAAAGGGGTAGGCACGAAAGCAGAAAATCGGCGCATCAGCAGCACCGACCATCCGGACTGGAATTTAATTATTCGAGTCGCGGCGGACTGTGATTACCGTGTCAGGCCGATAAACCAGGCTCTTCACCTGTCGCACCTTTGATCTCGCGATACCTCGCGTTGCATTCCCATCTGTCTTGATGCGCCGGGTATTCGTCTACTGTACAACGTCCAAGAGTGGACGTTCCCGGTGCGTTCGCATCGGCCAATCGTGCGTTTAGGTGTTAATGACAGGGTCGCTATTATACGCGCGCGCTCATAACGAGTGAGCCGCGTCTCTCCTTCTCCTCCTGCCTTTCCCTTTTGACTTTTTCTTGCGTTTTACACGGTCGGTACCGGCCATCTCTTCCTCGCGCGTTGTATTATAGCTTTCATAACGCCGACGCCGCGAAATTGTAGCGCCCCAGTGGTTCTCGACCTGGCGCATCGTCGTCTCATCGCACGTCAATAGCTGCATCGACACTTTTCGCGTGGAATCGTACGTGCTTGCGGCATTTTTTTCCGTTTCTTTTTTCAACGAGATAATAAAAATTCTGAATTATCCCAATTTCTTGGATTGTTTCATAGCTCAAGCAGGGATAAATCATTTGCGGAGTTTGCCGCGTGATAGAAAAATTCGCAGGTAGTTGCGAACCTGTAACGAGCGGCGAATTGGTTCCTATATCGCGAGGAGCACGTAGAAGTAATATATGGGATCCATTCTTCTCTCCCTCTATCTTGCTCTTTTCCTCTCACGCGCGCAGGCCCATCCTACTAGTTATTATCCGGGGTAATCGTGCCTAAAAGCCGGTGCCCGCTTTTGATTAAAATTGGCTTTTAATTCATTTGGCAGCCTCTAATCTCGCGGCGGCTCCGATCAGAGGGAACCAGAGCGAGGGCGACGTGCCGGTGGGGAGCGAAAGGGAATAGGACGGAGGGAGAGGGAGAGTTGAGGGAGAGAAGACAGAGGTTTGAAGCGAAAAATTTAGTGGCTTCCTCTCTTCATTCTCATACGCGCCGCCGAGCTTGCGAGTGCGCCATGAATAAATTCCAATGTGGCATCTTTCGCCAAGATATATTACGTCGATCGATTGCGGATAGGTCTTGCGAAGGAATGCAGCTCTGCTTCTTGCATGCTCTGAATTTTATATTTTGCGAATAGCGTTCTCTCTCGATAGGCACGTAGGCATTATGAGAAAATATATCATTATGAATCTAATAAATAACTACTTTATATTTATTATTTTTTATAGTTAATATTTTATTCTCTACATGTATATTTTATTTTATCGCTTTAATCCAGTATCAGAGTTTATAAGTTTAATCATAGAGCGTACTCGTATTATTTTTCGAAACGTTTCCTAATTGAAAATAATCTTGAATGTTTTCGCCGATATCAAGATTTCGCTTATTGCGTTCGATTTATCTCCTGAAATTCCGAGAAGAGAATTCATTGGCCGAGGAGAGATCCATCAAATGGAAGATTGAAATCAATGCTCCGTAGACGCCTGTCTCCGCACGTCTGGCAACTTACTAACAAACGCGTCAGCACTCGAATGGCGCGCCGGTCTCACTTCCTTTCTTTGATAACGATAATCATCGTTTCGAGACGGAGCGACAGAGTTTCGCTGCTCGCGATTGCTTCAGTCGCCGACGACGATGTCGATGGCGACGAGGTACCGGAAATGTGAAAGTTCGGTAATGGGTAACTGGAGCGAGCAAATACGTACAGCGGACTTTGTGAGACGCGGTAATGTCGTTGCCATCGGGTTGTTATCATCGTATCTTTTTCCGTCGTTGTACCGCAGATATTGCGCGACGCATATCTAAAATTCCGGTGTCATGAACCGGAAGGAAGAGCGAGTATCGGCTCGTATAGTTTCTGACTTGTTTGCAACCATCGCGATACTTACATTATCATGTAACGCATATTCCGTATTGGCTTGCTAGAGTTTCGTTATGCTCGAATTTTTACAGCTGCATAATTCACGCAGTTGCTCCAATAAGCGTATCAAAGTAGCGCAGTTACATGTTTTGGACTTTTATCGCATTATCGATTGCTTCATAAAATTTGTTACCGATTTATTAATCGATAAACTGATCTCGATTAATAAAGAAAGTATTTAACATATCACTTTTATCGATATTTGCTAAAATAATATTTTTTTTATGATAATAATGAAAATAATTCCAAGGTTTTATTTTTGCTAATTAATTATCGTTTAATCGCGTCCAATCGACGGAAAAGATAAAAGTTTTTTGATTAAATATGTGATTTATTAAAATTATTAAGTATAGTATCTATGTATTATATGTGATGGATAGATTTTTATTCATAAAAATTTATCAATTAACTTTTCAAAAAGCATTTTCAAATAGAAAAATATATGAAATTTTTCTCTCTTAATCATTTTTATTATGCAATATTTTGATTGCTGACGTAGTTTCTTGTATGCGAAGCAATCTATTAAAAAATCCACGTGTGTATATTTATTGTCTATCTAAATTGCAAAATAATTACAAAATATTTTATGATTAAGCAATGAGTTGGAAGTTTTTTCGAAATATATATCTCTCGATTATACCATCTATCAATCGGCGCATTAATATTCAAAGAACTTATCGGTCGCCGCGTTAAAGGGTACATAATCATGTAGATATTTCTCACTTAAACTATCTCGAGCGATAGACAGAAAGGACAATTATTTGTCCTCTTTAACGATACTATCGGAATTGACGCTCCATTACGAGGTAAATCTAATTAATTAGCGTAAGTGGCGCAATTAATTGGCGCAGATTGTAAAAGGCTAGCGAAACAGCAGTTTGAAATTAAGTCTTCTCTGTCGTTTTTATTGTCTACGGCACTCTACGGAAAGCCGTGGAAGCCGGATAAGAGAAAGAGATATAAGCAAGAGGAAGGAAACAGAAAGAGAGAGAGAAAAAATAGACTGAATCGAAGAAGGATTTTACGAGGCAGTTCAAAGACATTCTTGATTTCGATGTTGGAAGGGTATCCGACGAGAACCACTTGAATTTAACGAGGCTCCGGCAAATGGGCCACCCTGCAGATTCACCTTCTTTATTCTCTCTATACTACTGAAGCTCATGCCGCACTACTAACCCATGGACAAACACTCGATTTCAAGATTGCGCCTTCCGTCACAAAGTTTCCGAGAAACGTTGCGATCGGCTGTAGACAAACCTATCAGCGAAAGAACAAAACTTTTGCCCTTCTAGTTTAATTCTCCTCTCATTATGATTCTCTTACGTACCAACATATGTCGGAACGAAATAGATTCTTTAAAGCATTACAAACTACAGATTTTTTATCTTAGTCGAACAGAGTAAATGCCCCTTTACGAAGGATATAAAAATGTATCCGTTACATTCTCGTTTGTGGTAAACGACAGGAATAAGAAAGGAATCGAATTTCCATCTCTTCTGACCCAATTCTGACGTTACAGCAACGTGTGAGCATATTGAATTAGATGTTTCTCGCACTAGAAATGAAAAGGAGAAGGAGGAAAAAAAAAACGTTGCACCTGTACCTGTACCGGTCGGTCCCTCTTTTTTTCCTCCATCCGACAGACAAAGGGTGCCTGCTTCTCACTCGGCAAAATTTCGTAACACCAGGTAGGAAGGGTGGAGGAAAAGAGACACGAAGACGCAGAACGGAGCGAGAAGGAGAGACGGCGCTGGCTACGGTGCAACGTGCACTTCGGGGTCGAGGCACGACAGGATCCGCTAAGTGGCAAAGCACACACCGGACGGTCTGTGCCTCCTTCATTAGCACCAACTAGCCTCGGCGGCGGGCTTAGCCGAGTCTTTTCTTCTTTTCTCGATGCCGAAGAACGCCTTGGTAGAGAGGGGTCCCAGCGTCGTTGTAGGTACAACTCGCGCCATAAACCTCGACGAGGTCTCTTCTCGGAAATATGCCAGCGCGCATACCGAAGCACAAAACGGTTCGCTTTGTGCATCCTGTCGCTTGTCCTCCGAGATCGAAGCTGGTAGGAATTGCAAGGCTTTTCTCAAAGTCCCTCTCGGACTGTCCCGAGTTATTTACAATGCAGATTGCTTTATTCCCGTTATTTTCTCCTCCACGGGGAGAGAATAATTTTGAAAACGATTTTGAAGATCGCGTAATAAACTGTATCGAACTTTTATTTAAATATAATGATTCGCGTTACGAGATGTTTCACGTTTCTTTCTCTTTTCGTGTGTTACAGAGAAACTCACCACACAATCGGAAGATTTCAGTAGGAAGCTGTACATCTTTGCGGAGAAGAGCCAACGATACATTTGCTTCAATAAGCGGTGGAAACTTGTCGGCCTGGTAATTACTCGCCTACCAATTAGTAGCATACTCCATCATCCCGAGTGAGCGAGTAGATTTACACGCACTGGTAAACGCATTGGACTGTTCGTAATTTCGTAAATTTCTATTCATCACTTATATGCGGGGCTGTAATTTAGAAATTGGATTATTAACAGTCCGGTGATTTAAGGCTTCAACGTTTACAACGTGTATTACAAGCCTTAATCTTGCCTGATTCATCGTGCGTTAAATTTACCGCTCAATTTCCTGAATCCGTCTCGCGAGGGGAAGTTTTCGAATAATTGTGTTTACTTTTGTGCGAATGCAATGATTGAAAATCATCGATCTATCATCTATACATTTAATTTTCAATTTCGATCGATTCGCCAAAAAAAAAGTATAATTTTATCGATCCATATTTTTGTTTTTATTTGATTACGCTCTTAGATTCGTATAAACATTTTTTAATCTTTTGCAGTGTTACACTTTATATTATAATAAAAGTGAAAAATTTATGGAATTTATCTTTCGCGAATAAAGTTAGATTAGATAAGAAATTTTGTACGACGGAAAAAAGATATTTAACATGCATCCTTATTATCTCGAAGAGCAAGGGATTGAAAAACAGCGGATAATATATCACGAACCGTCGACTGTTTACTTTCAGCCTAAGAAGCAAAAGGGACCGATGTGCCAGTTTTACGAAGTATACAACGGCTCGTATCTGAGGTACAGGAGCGTGGTCGACGGCTCGCGATACATCGGCTTCAACAAGTATGGCAAGCCGATGAAAAACCCCCACGGCAGACAGGAGTGCTTCAACTTCATCAAGTACAACCCCCACGCCGACATAAACCACCACAACAGCCTAGTGAACGCGGAGATGGGCGGTATGGAGCCGCGGGAGCCGTTCGTCGTCTCGAGGAAGCCATCGCCGGTGATGAGGGCCACGAAGAACTCCCTGTTGCAGGCCGACAGCGCGAGGGAGCACGCGCACACGTCCACGCATCGCCATCGGCATTCGAATCGCTGGAAGATGCGGCAGGACGGAGCGGACTCGGGGCCCCGGAGACGACACGAGAGTCGCCTCCTCGTCGAGGCCAGCAGCAAGTATTGAGCCGCGTGCGAGCTCGCCGATCAAGACTGCCTCCTCCATTACCCCGTGAGAACCTGAGATCAGACTGCCAAATATATATACGCTGGTGGACCGCTCGTGGTCGGGATGTCAGGAGCCCACTTAACGGCGCCTCGTGAGTCGCGACTCGAAGCACCACGTATTCGTTCGAATTCGGTCGGCGAATCGAGAGCGTGGACGCGACCGCTTGCGAGAACCGTGTGCGAGAACGCGCGCATACACACGCACACATACGCACGCCTTATAGCTGCGCCCGTTCAGTTTCCGTTTCCGCCCGGGTGACGTTTCCGCGGCGGGAACGGGCGTCGTCGTCGAGCGTCGTCACTTGACGTAAGATCGAGGGAGACGCGGGACGACCTGGAAGCGCGAGCGCGCGAGTTCCCGCCCGACGAAGCTATCTCGATTTCACGCGGTTAAGTTCGATTTACACTTGCCCCGACTGACCCCTTCAGGCAAGTACGTACCTCGTAACGATAAGAGCGTTTTTTTTTTCTAATCATTGATTCCTCGTGAGTTTGGTTCGCGCGATGAATCGTTCGTTATCTCTCTGTTCTCGTCTCTTTTTTTTATACATTCAATCACTCTCTCTCTCTCTCCTCTCTCTCTCTCTCTCTTTTTCTCGCTCTATCTATTTATCTACCTAGTTATCTATCCTTCTTTCTTTCTTTTCTTAATCTCGTGACGAAGCGTGGCCAATTAGTACATATTTCTTTCACACTCGATGCTGCGCGTCGCGATAAACTGCGATACAGTCATGTAAATTCGTTTGAGCCGTTATTGCCCAATCGATCGTTTGATGCGAATGGAAGAAATTCACGTCGTAGAAACGCAACCGAACGGCTGCTGTGCTTCGAGCGCGGTCACTGGCCCGCGATGGTAGCGCAAAAAGACGCGCGGACGACGCACGCCGATGGACGTGTCTTCCGGACTTGCCCGACAAAGGTATCCGGATATCGTGAAATGTTCAATATACACATTCATATATTTTTTCCGAAATTAAAAAATTAATACAATTATCGTAATCTTAATTTGTTGAAAAATGAAATTGATATAAAAAAATTCGATAAAATGCCCGATATTGGTGCAACTCGATACGAGGAAACCAAGAAACAAATAGACGATTTTGTTTATATTATACTGATGACCCCACTCATTGATTCGGCTCTTTTTCAAATTTATGCGTAAGAGGATCACGATGTCCGGTTGCGGTCGATTCCTTCCCCCGGGAATCAAAGCGGGAACGGATTGTCGGCGCTGGTCCAGCGAAGAAATACTCGTCACATCGCGGATGCTCGTACGTCGTCGTTCTTACGCCCTCCTGCGCAGTTAGAGCTCACGCCGCGCAAGACTCTCTCGCTCGCTGTGCTAATTACGCCGCCTAACGTAGCGTGCGTGCGTGCCTGCCCGCGTGTATGAATAATGTGTGCGTGCCTGCCTGCGTGTTCGCGACGCAGGCCTTACCGCCGCCGACGCACAAACTCATGGTACGATCGATTACGAACGTGCCGAGAGTATATGACGACCGACGACAGTTCTCCGAGTTTCTTCTTCGAATAATTCAAGCTTATATTTTCCCCTCGAGTCGTCGATGTGTTTCACGGCTACGATGAATTTTATATATATCGAGAATATCCTGGAAGATTAATAACGATGTCATTGCGTGGCTTTGAGATACAAGAAACACAATGTTTCAGATGCGGGACATTTGAAGGCTTAATGTAAACAAGGCTCGAAAAGGAGCGTCACGTTTTCAAAAAATATTACTTTTGTATTTATATAAGAGCTCTCTATGCTAATATATTGGCAGCAGGCAAGCTGTACACGTAATTTTTGAGAATTCTTATGAGATACGCAATGAAAGAAAGAAAGAAAGAAAAGATAAAGAGTATATTTCTATAAAATGGCATCGATTGAAAAACTATCGACGTATATTTTCTAAATAATTTCCCACGTGAAATCTATCTCGAGACACTTTTCCTTTCGAGCATTCGGACAACGGCGATCGGTTGGAACTGCATGTTTGTGCGCGAGCATATATTATATTTGTGTGCATTTTGCGTGCATACGTATTTCGCCTCCGGAACGCGTGTGAATGCGTGTAATATATAATGCATTATCGTTAATGAACTTAATCCTTAGAATGCTATCGCAGACTGTATTATTAGGCTAGGTACATGAATATATGACGCGGTGGCGACTCGACGAAGGGAGCCAGGGACGCCGAGTTCTTTTTGCGAGAACGTCTCGTGCGATCTTATTTTTCGCTTCTATTTTCCCGACTGGACGCCGTCCTCGCGCGTCGCGCCGTTTTATCTTCTACAGGCACGAGAAAGGCACCCTGGGCTGATTCCACTTTCGCAGATTCGCCACGTAAGGAGCGCCTGTTCCCTCTCCCCTTGAAAGAAAAAAAAAAGAGATCAATCCCTATATAGGTAGCTTATTTATTGAAATCATGTCTAGGTACTACGAAAGCCGAAACGCCCGAGAGACTCTTCGTTGTCTTGTACGTATATATATATATATATATATATATATATATATATATATATATATATATATATATATGTATGTATATGAAGATATGCGCTGCTCTCTTTTTATCGTTTTCACCGTTGCTCACCGTTGCTATTCCTCTTTTCAGTCTCCTCTCTTTTCTGTCAGTCACATTCCTTAATTATCATTTAACGCAACGTTATTTCGTCACAACCGTGAATCGTTTGATACGATGTCATTAATTATTTGCTCGAGAGCAAATGTTTCATCCTTAATTCTTATTTATACTTTTTTCTTGGAAATCTATTTTTGTATTGTAAATTCTTTTCACGTATGTAAAAAAGTAACCATTGCAAATTTACATTTATACGCACACGCATTTTCATAAATTCTAATAAGGAGTAATATTTCAGTTATACACACATTATCAAGATTTAACTACTTTTTTTGAATAATCAGTTAACTTAAAGACATATATTTTCTTTTCTCCGCATTCCTTCACTCGTTTCGATGGTTAAAACACGCTTTTTACGCAAAGTCTGACAAATACTCAATATTTGATTAATTTAATTGCATATGAGTGGCAGTGCATAGAAAAGCTTATTCCTACGGATGTTTGTATGTGTGTTAAAAAAAAAAAGTAGGGAGCAATACGCACGTAGTGACGCCACGTTTCGTACAACGAATCAAAGATTAAATTTTGCAACGCGTTTCTTAATAAATTAATCATTTATTTCTTCGGAAACAACAATTTTCACATTCCGGCAGCCTTGTTTGCCTCTTTTATCACAGACTGCTTTTAATTGTAACAAAGTATCATACCTTTTGGTGATTCGTTATCGGCACGTGGCGAGTGCAAGCTAAGCACGATAAGATGTCGCGTGTAAACAGAAATTAAATGCCAGCAGCTGATCATGAGAAAGGCATAAAATCCGACGCTTATAATTTAATAACAGTTAACTAATCTAAAAAACATATATGTATTGTATTCTAATATGGGTATTGTAACTCCACCTCTAAAAATTAACCAACTCGTTTTTGTATGTGTAAGCCTAGCGTCACGTAGCGACGTGCAGAGAATCACCGCGGCGTTCACGGCGATGTGTAAAAAAAAAATGATAGAATAATTTTTATGGAGTTTGCGAGTCTCTTCGAAAGCGAGATATGTCACTGACTGTCGTTCTATGTATATATATATTCGTTCGTACATGTATCCGTTCCTATATATATATATGAAGAAGAAAGAAAGCGATTCCCGACCAGCGTCATTCTCGCGATCTCATCGAACTATTCGTAATCGAGTCTCGTTTTGGTATTTTGTAATTTTGAGATTGAGAAGAAATTGCATCGATTTTTTCGTTTAACATTCGCTGGTTTGTACATTCTTACATATTGGCAAGAAAAAAAAATTTTCCTCGGTCTTTAAACTGTGTATTGATACTATACGATGCTGATCGTCTTATCATTCATCTGACTCGATTGCGAGCAGATCATCACGCCTAATCCGAGTCCCTTCCTTTTTTTTACATCCTCACCATATTGACGAACCAGAAAACGGTATGAAACGAACAAAACACGAGAGATGAATCTGACTCTACCCCTCCCTATAGATAGATAGTATACATAACAAATAAAAATAAAAAAAGAAAAAGGTAAAATATAAATATTATATATATATAAATAAAAATATATATATGAAAGATGATGTGTATTGTAAGATATTTAATACCGACTTGTCTTAGGCACACCCGATGACGATCGATAACAATGAAACGATGATAATAATTATTACGATGATTGTTGTATAACGAACGACGACGATGATGATATTCTACACTGTAATTCGCGTTGTAATATAGAGGCCCACCCGTTACCCACTAAATCGATGTATCGATGTACCCCGGCCGTGCTGTGCTCGTGTGCACGCGTCTCGAGGGGATGACCGACCCTAGAGGGAGAGAGAACACTTGCAGGTGCTTCGCACTTTGGACGACGGCCAATTAGCCGAACTGAGATTTTTCTACGAGAAGGACAGGGAGCCACTTTCGTAACTGGCCGACGTTCAACGAGCGTTGCATCCCGGATTGGAGAAATTAGATTCGATTTTGATTGCGCCTTCGCGCTGCTCGGCGTTAATCATCTTGACTGTAGCGCGAAAGACACACACGACATACAAATGCGCGCGCGCGCACATACACACACACACACATACACACGCACACACGTTTTATTTACGATGCGCAACAGTCTATTACGAATGAGCACAGCACGCCCGGCAGCAACTAGCAATAATATAACATTCCAACTTAAATCGCATACGTACTGCGAATTCTAATAATGTGTGCCGCCGTACGAGAGAGAAAAACACTGTCAAATACACGCTCATACACTGCTATTCGTCGTATTTATTATCACACCGACTTCTTATCCCTCTAATGGCTGTAATCCTTAGTTCGCATGCAAAACGATAGCATGAAGGAATGGTAGCTAAACCAGTCTCCAGAGAGCGATAAAGTAACGGACATACGATTTGGTCCAACGAGTTATGCAAACTGCAGAAATGTTTGCGAAAAAATGAAGACGGGTTTGTCTTACCCGCGTGACGTAATTGATCTCTCGTTTCTCTCCTCGAAGTAAAGTAATAATAATAAAGTTTAAGACTCTGTAATGATAGCCGTTAAATAATTTGTTTCTCTTTATAAGGGAGGGAAAAGCATCTCGCTATGCATTTATTTCTAATAATTTTGTAAATGGCACGTTTCACAGATATAAACTCCAAATTTGTATAATAATGTGGCAGACATTATTATTGTAGATTCTTTCATGACAGCGTTAAAAAAGGGGGATATTCCAGCGTCGTGAAAGAAATTCAACTTCACAGGGAGCGCCGAATTTTTACCGGATTTGTGAGGCTCTCAATATACTTATCCATCCACTCGAGCCGTCTCGAGACGGAAAGCTAAAATCAAACACATCAAACACGTTTTGACGGCGGCGGCAACACGATCCGCCTGAGAGGTTCTCTATTTGCAGCGATGGTTGAGAAAGAATCAGGATTTTCTACACACTTACCTAGAAGGGGGAGGAAGGAGGGAAAGAGAAGAAGACGTAAAAAGGAAAATATGTTCATGAATCTCGTCTGTCCAAATCTCGAGCTACTCCCCAATAAATCTCGCGCTATCTTTCATTCAAGTTTGTTTAACTTAACATCGGCCCGTGAAACTGTTGTGTGTTGCACCCTCCTTATCCTTACACAAAGTCTACCGTTTCGTTCTCCTCCCTGCCGAATCTCTCGCGTACTCCTTTTCCTTCCTTCGCCCCTCTATATCAACGTACATTCACGCGTCACCGGGTAGGCAATGTCCTATGGTGCGTAAGTTCCCGCATCTAGATCCCAAGATTATCTTCCTGAGCTTGATGTAGCTTTCCTGCTCCCCTATCGGAAACTCTATCTTACCGGATAATGCCCGCAATCCGCTTTCGTAGCGGATGTGGCGGATTGGTGTCCCAAGATTTCACACGAAATGCACAGACCAGTCGACGGTACGGTAAATAAATAATTTAAAATCTGCATTATGAGATTCATGCGACTAAATGTGATTATTTATTTTTTGGCCATTTGAGAGTCAATTTTTGTCTCTACTTATTGTTTTATTCGCTTAGCCGATTATATATGTCAATATTAATACTTTTAAATTATCATCAATAATCTTCAAGTGGAGAGGTATTGTGTATCTCTTAAATATCCTGCACATTATTTTAGCAATTATTATTTATAATAATCATGTTTATTTAACTCGAACGTAGAATGAATTTATTTACTTTAGAAACTCTTTCAGACGTTTAATAAACTAAAAATATATGCGATATTTTTTGTCAGTCTAGACTTATCCGCGGTTTCGGAATGCAGTATTTTTTATAATATTTATGACGTGAAAACGAGTCAAAGATGAGCATCGTGGATTCACAAATACGGCGAAGAGACGACGTGCCGTTGGCGGTATGCCCGCCGCGAGAAGAGGGTCCAGCGCGCAGCCTCCAATTAAGATCTCTCAATTAGCGTATCTTATCGCGCACTTGCTTATCTGGCCGGCCTGTCTTGGACAGGTTCCCGCGCGTTTCTTCCAGTAGGTACGGCGCGTTTCTCCGCTCCCTGGACCAGTCCCTGGATCGGTCGGTCTATTTCCCGGCCGTTGCTTCACCTGCTTGCTGCACGCGTGCGTTTTGTGGCCCGCAGCGATGCCGCCCTCGTTAAATCGAGTACCGTCGCGCCGGGAGAATATTAAGTCAGCGATCATTAAAAGAGATCCTATCCAAGATCCTCCTGCTCAGCCGCTACCAGCTGCGATCCCTACCATTTCGTAAGAGATTTCACGCGAGAGCCAGATACGCCGCTTGCGCTCTCGGACGTATCTTCGCAATTAGACGCGCGTGTACGCTTAATTATCCTGCGTGTCGAGCGTTTATTAGACTTGGAAACGGTTATTCCTAGTCGAATTAACAGACGCATTAACTCTTGATACGTATAACTTGACACATTATTAGTTAGTCGTTACGGGATGCAACGTGTCGCTTCTAATATCCGAACACATAAATGCAATAATTATTACATAAGCATAATCGTTGTCTATCTATAATCTATTTAAAAAAAGATAATATCGAATGTTATCTTTAAGTATTTATCGCGTGATGTATTGTATAATGGAAATTTATTAGAAATTTACAATAGCATGGATGTATTGTTCGATTTTTTATTCTATTGAGTATCGACATTCGCTTCTAATATCCAAACACATAAATGCAATAATTATAACATAAGCATAATTATTGTCTATCTATAATCTATTTAAAAAAAGATAATATCGAATGTTATCTTTAAGTATTTATCGCGTGATGTATAATGGAAATTTATTAGAAATTTACAATAGCATGGATGTATTGTTCGATTTTTTGCTCTATTGAGTATCGACATTGTTAAAAGTTTATAGAATGACTTTTCGT